GACAAAGAAGGTCAGCTGAATGATCTAAGAGGACTGGCTGTGTTTGGTAAAGAAATACTTCTTGTCTGTGATCAAGTTATCCACCGAGTGCAAGTCTTCAGTCAAGACGGTCAGTTCATAAGGTCCTTTGGTAGCTATGGTTCAGGTCTCGGTCAAATAAATGGTCCGTATGACGTTTCTGTTACACAAGATGGTCGAGTATTTGTGCTTGAACGGTTCGGCAAACGAGTGCAGGTGTGGATATGAGATCTGTTGACTGCTTTCATAGTAATGTACCCATGAAACACATACTAACTGTTGCACACCAAATATGTACAATTGTAGTCATAGAGAACATGTCCTAAATCAGTTATCCTCCGTAGCAGCAGAACGTTTGTTTCTATTGTATTTTAGAAGGAATAAAATCCCAGGTGAAACAAAAAAGCTACACCCCAATTGACTGTTTGAGGATCATATCATATAGTTTAAAACTATTTTATCTTCTTTGAATTTTTCACTCAAAATGCTAGGTTATTATACTCCATATAGAAAATCACAATTAAGACTAATTTATGTGGCTTAATGTAATTTTTAAGTAAATTTTGATGTTAGAGTACAAATATTAAATGTATGCAACACTTTCCACTATTTACCACAAAATAGTGTTAATTAAACAATAGAAAACAATAGAATTAGCATAATTTAGCAGTATTTARTGGTATTTATGTTGCACAGTTTTAGTGTTTGTATTCTATAAAATAAAAGAATTTGAGTCAAATGTTTGAATAATCAATCGCACGTCCTATCACGTCCTATGGCGCTAGCATTATTGTTGGGCTGCCTGTTTATTTAATGCTTACAGCGGAAAGAAAATCCGTTCAACCGTAAGTTTTAGAAAAAGTCAACTATACGATGTGTTGCCTGAAAGTTGAAATTCTTAAAACGAAAAAAAACCCATACTTTCTCGTTAATTTAGAATGTCAAAGCTTCAAATTTAAATATCCTAATATCGTAATATCTGTAATACTTAAGTTGGGCCGTTGCCTACCGCTAGCCAAGTAATGTCAGTATTTAACCAGCAGTGTTCGCATATCTAGAAGAAAATTACATTAGATTTGAGTAAAAAATAGAGTGCACAAAAACATTTAGAAATTAAACAGTAAGAAACCATATGGAAAAGGGCGTGGCTATCGTAACCCTTGAATTTATAAGTTGTTTAATATATCATTACTACCCGTCGAAAGAACATATTGTAATGAGTGAGATCTGAAAGTTTCAATGCTCTAACATTTAAGGATCAGAAATTACAGGCGTTTGAAATTGCAAAGGTTTGAGTGAAAGTCAGTATTGAGGCCTTAACAGCCTCGTTTTTACGTTTTTCATACGTTTTGAGTCCTTGTAGTTCTGTCTATATTTTTACCATTTGAAACTAAAAATACGCCAATTAACTAGTTTGAAAATACTCTTTCTTATCGCGAAAAGAGAGTTTTAAAAACCACAAGGACCGTTTAAGGTGCTCATTCCCAGTCTTCTGCTCGTTTTTCATATGGTCAATAAATGTACCGAAATTCTAGTGCAAATAGACCAATCCCTAATTCGCTTGAATGAACGCGAAACAATGGTRTCAGTTTGAGGCTGGAGTTTTATCTTTTGTCGAAAACTCCAGCCTCGAAATGAAGTGATTGTTTCGTGTTCATCCAAGCGAATGCGGGATTGGTCTATTCCTTTGTTTTCTATTGCCAAATCTTCACTACATTGCGCTCCGGGGGGGGGGGGGGGGGGTGGATTGCGCTCTGTTTAGAAGCGTTTTCTAAGACTACAAATGATTTTCTTTCAGTTGCCAAATGGTACAGGAGTTCTGCTTGGATTAATACAATTAGCGATGTTTTGCATCTACCCCTCAACACCACCAACACAAAGACATGTTGTCGACCTGGCTTAAAATGTCATAATGATAAACGGATAAAGGCAATGAGCAGCGACACCATTTTTGTACATCAATGCATGATGGGAGTTGTAGTCCTCGCCCTTTTTTTATTTCCTCCAAAACGGTTGTGTAAAAAGATAAACACCGTAAAAAAGTCGGAGTAAACAGTAAGTTAGTTGTTTCACCTACTGTTTTACGGTGCTAAATGTATCTTTTTGCACAACTGTTTCTTTAGAAACACCGACGCAGCTCACACCAGTTTACCCCTAGTTCCCATCACCTCCAAACGGTTGGCTACTAAACCGATTTGACAAAAATAGCAGTACATAATTGTGTTTGCATAAAAATATAGAAATAGCTTTTAAGAGAGATTTTAGGGGGATATATAAAGTCCGTTGATTACAACTCCCATCATGCTTTGCTATACAAAATGGCGTCTGTGCACAATGYCTAATAACGTATTAAAACATTAGGTCGCAGATTAGACACTAAGCCATGTGRGATATCTTGAAACATGCGCAGAGAGTAGTTTGCGAGTTTTGGTATAATTTAGATCCGAGACTGGCATCTTTGACAACCACTGTGGACAACTGCTGGAACTTCATCACCAAAATCCATTTTCAAACGGAAAATATATGTAATGCATTAATTAAAAAACGCATAAAGTCTTAAGTATGTGGGCTTTTAAAAACAATAAAATTTTGCGTAAAGCCCAGCTTCATTAACGATATTTGCAGTACTATGCACCATATGTATTTTAGCCTACTAACAGGCGTTCCTCCTGGGGGGCCGAGAAGGAATGGGCTCCTCCTCTTCATTCCTTCTCGGCCCCCCAGCAGGAACGCCTRTTAGCAGGCTATATGTAGTTCAAAAAACATAATTTAAATGACATTATCACAGCTAAGATCGAAAGGGAGCATGGTCAAGTAAATAATATGAGTACTCCGGTCGTACTTCAATAGGCCTTTTCTGTGATAGGAGTTTGCATTGCATTGTGGTCTAGATTCGGTACAAACATCGTTTTGTTGATGCTACCAAATATARCRTTGTTTGTACTGAATCTACACYACACAATGCAACATGATTTTGTATTTAAGAAAGGTCATTGCAAGAAGATTSATTAATTACAATAGATATAATGACCTTCTCAATGAGAAGTGTTAGAATGTAACGTGTTTTTGGTGTAGATACAACAGTATAGGACTTTGCAATACATAAGAAATACGTCATACAATAGTACGTTGCATGACCAAACATTTCTAATGTTTCATGGCTCACAACATTTTGCACTTTTTTCAATACAACAGAACAACGTGTTTCTAGGAAATAATCTTCTGAACGGTTAAACATTACAAAAATCACGTTTGACTCTTCCGATAAATCTTCTTTAGTTAGTTTGATTTTTTATATTTTGGGAATTTATTTTGTTTCTTATTGTTTTTTCTTTGCTTTTATTTTCATTGTCAGTTTTGCCAAGACGGAAATCGATTCAAAAATACATGACGCCAAATGAAAACCTTTTTATTTCGTAATTAGAGTGACCTAAGAATAAAACACACAGACTACATAAAAAATGAAAAATCAAAAACAAAAAACAAAAAAACAAGTAAACCTTACTATGCGAGTAAAGGGAAGATGTTTAATATAAATGTGGAAAGAAACCAGCAAACTCAATAACACTGAACTATTAAAAGACAAATAAAAAAAATACTGGAAAAGTATTTGGAAAGCAAAGAAAACTAAACCAAGCGTGTAGGTCAAGTTGTGACTTGTTGTGATTTTATAAATATTTTAGTGTCTGAGTTTTACGTTATAGTGATGTACGTTTGACCTCAACTGTCAATTTTTCCATGACAACCAGTATCATTTGATATTTTAGAAAGAGTTGAGCAAAGATATCCGCGTTCTTGATCTGTCTAGTTTGCTTGACCAACATGGCGGAGCTTAACACTTTTGCTAAAGACCTGGAAGCACAGTTAACTTGTGCTATTTGTAACGATATCTTTACTGATCCAAGGACACTACCGTGTCTACATACTTTCTGCTTTAAATGCATCAAAAGTTGGAACGAAGCTTGTCACAAAGAAATGAAGAGGTTGAGATGTCCAACTTGTAGAGCAGTAGTCAAGATCGAAGGAGACGATATCTCGAAGCTTCCTTCTTCGTTTACGTACAACTCGCTGCTTCAGCTTTTCAACGCCATGAAGACCAAGACTGACGAACACAACCAACAGCAGCTTCCAGAGTGTGTAAGTTGCAACAAACGAAGCGTATTGGTTGGTTTTTGTGCCCAATGTGAAGGAATGATTTGTAATGAATGCATCAACCAACACAAAACAATAACGCCATTGATAAAAACCCATCAAGCAACTCTGTGGGGCGAATTCAAGACACAAAATGTCAACAGCTACATCAACAATCAAGCCATTTGCAAGGAAAAATTTCACCAGAAATGCCGTCTCGATTACTACTGCATAACGTGCAGGAAGTGTATTTGTCAAAAATGTGGTATGACAACATCACACGGCAGCCATGACAGGGTCACCATCGAGAAGGCAGCTGAAGATGCTAAAAAGCTTATCAGAAAAGAAAAGGATCGACTCAATGAGCTGCTTATCGGTTACAAGAAAGAATTAGAACTGTCCAATGAAAATATGACAAGGATTCAAAGCGAGGTTGACACAGCAAAGGCAAAAGTACAAAATGACATACAAGCTATGATGAAGATTCTACAAGACCGTCAAAACGCTTTGTTTGCTACCTTGGACGGCCTTCTTGCAGAACAAACAACAGC